ATCTGTTAAGAAATGCTAAGCAGAGTAGCCGGCTGATACTAACCAAGTAACAACCTGTTAACATATTTCTAGTTAGTAACAATATCTTTTTTTCTGCACATGGTAAGTCAACAGAAACAATGAAACTCAGTTCTATCAAAAAGTACTTGTTCTCCAAAACAACATTTTTTGGCTCCAAAATGCATTAACTGCAGCCCATAAAAGAGTCACTGTAAGTTATGAAAATTAAATGGTTACAAGAAAATTAATTTATTGAAGTACCTTGCAAATGGAATGTAGGAAAGACAGTACCTAAGAAAAAGAACAAACAGCATCAAATAAAGAAGACATCAATAGCCACACAGTGAAAACAAACAACAAAAAGCTGCAATTGCAATGCAGTGTGAAAGCTGTTATTGGACAGACAATATCATTTACATACCACGTCATTGCTAAATACTGAAGAATGCAAAACAGCAAAGCCAGTCCTTTGTTTTCCCACTGAAACAAACAAAACAGAAGAGTTAATAGGCTTTCAAACAGTGACAGTAGCTGTTGTACATGTTTGAGTTTGAGTCTAGTGCTTGATGCTAAATTTGCATAAGTTGTCAGCAAGGTGACTCATGGAAAGGGTTGCCATGGCTAAGTTAAAAAAATATAATTGTGACGAAAACTTAAGCAAAAGCTGCCAATTTGGTGACCTGCGTTTGGCATTCATGTGCCAAGCTGTGCAGTTGTGTTTATGGTTTTTCTAAAGCTTAAGTAACATCACTAATTATCTCATATTGTTTAGTCTCCATTATCCTATTCATCTCTTCTACCCCGGCTGTCCAGTTATTAAGCCTTGGGATGTTGCATGCACAACAACTTTGATTATTTTAAACCTTTCATGTACTACATGTATTCCACAAAATGTCCTTATTTCTGGCGACCAATACATGTATTTTATGACTAGTGACCAGTTTATAATAGGGAGCGTAAGCAATGACAATGACGACAACAATGAAAACGTCGCTAAAATAGTGAATTTGCGTCCTTTCAAATTTTTTTGTGTTTGTTAGGACCAACTCAATTTGTCAAATGTAGGCAATTTTTCCTGGAGTTGAATTCTTAAGGATTTTATCCTGGTTCAAAAACAGAAAGGAAAATATTCTTCTTCTTAGTATGTTCACGTCCGCCATAAATTGTCGCATTAGGAGGTTTCACATCCTAGTTGTGCAGTGGACGTCAAAGAAATGTGTACTAAAAAGTGTGCCCGGGCCTTCTGTGCAAGAGGTTTTGGAAATACATTCCTAAGTGTGACGTCCAATCCTTCTATAAGTTGGACTTCTTTCCTTTCAGTGTAGCTTTAAATAGCATTAAATACCCATAAAATGAAGCACTGATAAAAAGAGCGGGGTACAGTGAGCGTGCTGTCGACCTCAGGTTTGTCAGTCAAATAAGGACCTATACTTTTTACTATTCACCTAAGAGGTGTCATTTATAAAAATTCCGCACATTTAACTTGCACAAAGATTTCCCATCATTTTTTACTGCAACAACTCCAGTCGTACACTAAGTAATTTCAGTTTTTAACAAGTGGTAGCCTAAAACGCAATTTTGTGCTTCAGTTTTATCCTTGGTATTGATTTTCTCTTGTTTTAAACTCATATGATTCACTACCATACCTAAAACAAAGGAAAATCAAACTTAAACCAAGGATAAAATTAAACAACGATAGTAACAATCCACAAACTTTACCCCCTAAAAGGTATGATGAAAACCCATGTCACTTTCATAGAGCACCTGCCCTACCCTGCCCCTGGCCCGTAATGTGGTCATTAGGTAAGGTGTCTTGAGTTCATAACTCACCCATAAGGCAGCACACAGTGTAAGAATAAGGCAAACCTGAAAAAAAGAAACAAGTTTTCAAACTGCAGTCCTGTATGTCATGCGTAATAATACACACTCTAAATTTTGACTGCATCTTGGAAATGTTTTTGTCAGATTTAGATGACCCAATGTGTGGAGGGCCATGGTGTATTTAACAATTATTTCTCACGCCTGAATGCGCTGTGAGTCAATAGCCCATGAGGCCAGAGGCCGAATGCCGGCCAAAGCAGTAAGTCTGCAAAACACAGACTACCGGCCATAAGCGTAGCCTCCAACATTTGAAAAAATAATGATAACCATCAGTTATAAAAATGACAAACTGGTACACTTGCACAATATCCTGGTCCAGCCAGAGCTGTCAATCTGTGATACTGACCAGGGTGATCAATGCTTTGTGGATGAGAATGACCCTTATTTTGTTGGAGATAAATTTTTATGGCAGCTTTACAGGCAGCAAACTCCTTGTCCTCCACCCTTGTGGTTTCCAGTTGAATGTATGAGGCCCTTTTTTTGGGGGGGGGGGGACATACGTCGCAATATAGTTCTGAATTTCAAAACCCTTTATTTAAAGGATTGAGAAGGAGGCTGTGTCCTTGATGGTATTTTACAATAAATTATTATTGTATTTGCCATTGCTCTTGTCCGTGTCACAGTCGCAACCCATTTTGATGTCATTTGTTGACATTTCATCTGTCTTACAATGCTATTTCAAGGTCATGTCACCTCAGATTTTTTCCCCAACAGGGCCTCAATTATGCAACATTGCACATTAATTCTTTAATCTTTAAAATGGGAAAATGACCTATTTCCTTACCAACATGATTATCGTTGCAATAAGCCTCTTTTCTTTGAACATATTCCTCAACTGTTTCATAGGACCCATGAGAAAACAGGTACTATAAACCAGAATAAAGAAACAGGCAAATGATACAATAATGGCAATCAGTGATAGGTGAGGGTTTAAATATTAACAAGACATTTACTTTTAGGGGAACCATTCAACAACTCCTGTGGTAGACGTAAGAGTAAGCTGAAGTACACGTAGGTGGAAGCTTGGAGCTGTGTGATATGAAATTTAACCAAGTTCAGCCACTAGGTTGACCAAATTAAGCAAAACATACATGCAAATACAAAAGAAGGCAACCAAAGATGGGCAAAAAAGGAGAAGACGGTTAGTAATAATTATTGGGGTTTTGACTGACACTGTTCAGCTTACCATTTTTTCAAAGTTTGATTTTTTTTGTGTTGTTTATAACTCAAAACAAAAATGCTTGGAAGACACAATGGTCACTAAGCTGAGTTTTTGTTATTTACATGACATGGTAATTCATTGCTAACAAAATGTTTTACAGTAAATAAGAGAGAGTTATTGCATAGGCTAAACAAAGTGATTGGACAAAGCCCCTTTAAAACCAATGATTCTTGTAAGTATTCAGTAATGACAGGGTGCTTTGCAACAGGAATACCTACCAGAGCACTGGTAGTTGCCAGGTCTTATTGAAAGCTCTGAGTTTTTCCTTGCAAATGGTTACTTTAATTTGTATCATTGAAAAACAGGTACAAATTTCATTATTACAATCAACAAAATGTACATACCTAGATAATGCCATAAGGTTACCAAGTGAATAGAACACAGCAAATAATTTAATGTCCTTCCATAAAAATATCACTCCCTGACAAAAGAGATTAAGATTTGAGTTGCAATAAAATTAATTGATAGAGCACAAATATAAATAATACTTAAAAATTTTGCGTGTGCCTTTTTTCAATAAACAATGATGGGACAGAAGGGTCTGCATCATGTTTTGAACATTAGAGGGTTTTTTTTTGGAACAATTAGCAATTAGCAAAATTTCTCATCTGAATATGCAGCCATATTTAACATTCTGAGACCAAAAAATTTATCTTTATGGTCAAGTAATGCTGTTTATTGCAGAAGATAATACAGTCAACTTCACTGTAGGAACTTTGAGTTAGTGTCCTCATTTGCGAGAGTCTATAATAGTCCATGGAAGATCACTTCAGTCAGACATCTTGAATTTATTTTTGCCAGGGATTTAACTGCTGTCTGTATTATCGGGGTGTCCGTTATATAGTGGGGTGTCCGCAAGGCAAGATTTGACTGTACTATACACTTCCATACGCTAGAAGTTTGGCTCTATGGAAATAGTTTTGTTCTTTAACGAGTTTCAGTGTATTACAGAATAAATAATAACACTTGAGACACTTGCATTGAGACACAACTTTTTCCTGGGTGACTAGATATTAGTTTAACAAATGAACGAAGGGGACAGTTTCATAACAAAATGTGGAAATACATAACTGTAGGAGTGAAACACAAAAATTTGGTCTCATCTGAAATCGGTTTACCACCGTAAGAATATGGAAAAACTACAGAGCTAATTGACTTCATCATTGATTCAGTAGATGAAATCATCTTTTTTTTTGTTATTTATACAGCCACAAGAAGGACACAAACAAAGGACAACTAAACATACTCTATCCAATTAATTATACTAATAATTTATAATATAATTTATAACTGTTGTGGAAGCTCTCCTAATGGACAACGTCATTGCTGCCTTCTGGCCTGTTTTTCTCAACTCTCACACAAGCTCTTTTACATTCAGTAAGCGGCCAGCTCCAGCTTCCCGTCCCGAGGCTGTGCACCCATGAGAGCTGCCACTGTATACTTATACTTTATCATTATCAATTCTATTGCTGTATTGAAATACGGTATCCTACGCCAAGGGCATGATCTAGCAGCACCCAGTGGCCCCTAGTGTCTTTTTTTTTGTCTGAAGTGACTACAAAATCCAGGGCTCAAAATAAAGGACGGCAGGTCGCCGGTCATGATGACCGGCCAAATATTTTTTAGTACGGAGAAACCCCAATTTTGGCCGGTCAAATAATGAATACTACAGGTGTATATTTTTTTCTGGCCTATGGAAGATCGTTGTACTATACTGATGTTCAGGTTTTTGGCAGCAAGTTGGTGAAAAATTCATTCACACATTTTTGAGTTCCTTTTTTGCGGTTTTTGCACATTTTCAGTGTCCGTTATACCTTGAGTATCATCGTACAGCGGTGTCTGAAGACCTCTCAAGTCTCCCAGGTTCGTCCAATATTTGCATATCCGTGAAACTGAATCTTTTTGGTTGCCCGGCAGGTCATCACTTAATATTTTCGGCAAAGAAGTTGATTTGGCGAGAAATCTGTTCCACAAACAGCGTGTTTATTATTAGAATCAATAAATATACAGCAGAGCTTTCGTTTGGGTCGTCGTGCAACTTTATTGCGAAGGACTCATTAACATCATCAAAAATTTACATAATGCTGTTTACACAAAGGAGAATTTTAAGCGCCGAGATGGGCAACTTTCGTTCTCGACTAGCTTAAATTTTCATCAGACTATTCTGGAATCGAGTCCAGAAACAAGATTCATGTTCGATATCAAGAATTACTATAATTGATCGATTATTCCCGGAGAAACAGTACAGGACGACATGTTGAGAATTGCGATCAATTTGCCCGAATTCCGTCAAAGGTGACTTTCACAACCCTCTTACAAGTAGAAGTGAAACGTTAGATGGACGAAAACTGTTAGCTGTCCATTAATTTTCCAACGGATAATGGATTATCGTTAGTGTATGTTTTCCCAAAGACGGCACATTACTGATTACAGCAAAGCAGAAAGTACGGTACGACCTGCTGCATCGCTGCATTGTTCCACAACTTGGTTTGTTGTTGTTACGCTTTGTTGCGTTTCATTACGACATGACAACAAGAACTTAATTTATTGCGGCGTTCTTTTTCTTTAGAGGTTTTAGTACAAAGCAGCAAAACAAAAAATCCAAAGAAAAAATCCTTACTGCATTATAAAGTAATACGCATCAAGAGACAACTATATGGAAAATATTATATTAAAAATGTTGCTATCCAAAAATGACTGGTCAAAGTGACCAGCACAACCAGAGTTTGACCGGTCAAGTCCACGATCAGACCGGACATTGTCCGTTGACCAGCCGTTATTTTAAGCCCTGAAATCTTAGCTTTTCTTAAAACTCATATGTTAGGCATCCTGGATTACATAGACTCCAAGCACTGGGCTCCCTTCACTTTTTTCTTAGAGCACAGCCTTGCATACAGTTTATAGGCAGACCAGGTCAAGCATACATTGTACACACATAGATCCTATAACTATTACTGATCATTTGAAAACTGAACCTGTTAGTCCTTGTTGCTAAAAACAATGGTTATCACGGCACAACAAAACTGCTGTCTGAAAGCCTGGGGCTAGTGGGGCAACCCACCATGTTAACATGTTTAATTACGAGGTGTTAAGTAATGATGGGCAGGCAACATCATTTGCTTTAACTTTAGCAGCAATTACAGACAAGCAAATTATAAAAATTTTTATGCCACCTTGTATACTGTGGTCCAATTTTATTTCAGTTTAAATTTCATTTTCCTGTGTTTTGTGACATGACAAAGTATGATAATGAGCTTGAAGCAAAAAAAAAAATGAAATAGATACCACAGTGAGTGGTAAATTTTAGACTCAGTGTGATTGAAAAGAGGTTTTGAATGGACAAAATTTCTAAAAAGACATACATCAATACCTTGTATGCCAATTCACTGCTCATTATCAGGGCTTTCAAAATGTTTTGAATTTACGTACCAAAATGGAGAACACCACACCAATACAAAAGCAAATAATAAATCCTTTGATCCGTGTTGACCAGCTCAAGGTAGTTGCATCAGATATCTAGTAAAGAACAATAATATTATTGTGAAAGGTCTGAACCCAGGAGTCATTTCAAAAGTAGGTTGAGTTTGATCTTCCGGGTGAACATAGTCCTGAAGTCAGGACTACATTCACCCGGACGATCAAACTCGACCTACTTTTGAAATAATATTATTATTAAGTCCTGAGAGGTGGTTTTGACATTTGAGTCTGTAAATGAAATACTCCATTGTCACCATTCAATTAAAACTTTCACGTGGTACTTTCTGTTTATCAACATCTTACAACATGAAATGTGGAAATTTTGCTGAATTTTTTTTGACTTTGGTCACTCTTGGGAGCAAAGACTTACGAAGATACAGTGGAATATAAAAAAGTGACCAGTGCATGACCACAAAATTTGGTCGTATTAGATTTGTTGTGTTAATACTGTATTGTACTGGTCACAATGAATTTTCTTCCTCAAGTAAAGAGGTCTAGATGTGTTCTTGAACCACACAATTCACTAATTTTTTAAAGCAATAATTTTAAAGCTTTCTTGGCTCTTCATTCATACTATTAATAATACAGTTACATTCCATAACTTTATTCTGCAAAAAGGTTTAGTTGCAGCTATCTAAAATTGCCAGTAGCATTTCTAACTCTAATGTGGAATGAATGCCTGTCCTCACTTTCACACAGCAACTCCTCATTTAGTCTCAAGATTTACTACAGGAAATAGATGCCCAATTATTTAACATTTTATTGCAGTGAAAGGTTAGCTTGAATAATAATTTTAAAAATCACAGCTATGTTTTCATTTTAATTAGGCTAATATGAGCTGAGTTTAGAATCGAAACTCCTATAAATTCACAACGTTAAGGTCAACAGTTGCATGGTAGTGTAAGCATGTGGTGTAATTAAATTTTATGATTATAATTAAAACATTTTCAGAAAGTAAATTTTCAACCTCTTTAAATAATGGAACGGAAACAAGATACTAAGGTTAAACTCTAAAGTCAAATTTCAGTCTAAACAGTTTGGTCCACAACTACAACATAGAAAACGCCGACTAAAGAGTTTAAAGACCCGCAGAAGGTCTCATGCGAAATGCTATGACAATAAAATAGAATCAAAGAAGACTATCGCACCTCCGTTATAATTCCGTCTTGCTCTGGGTCTCTGCCTGTTATTGTAGACTTGATTTTCTGAATGGTGGAGGGCGCCATCTTGCCCAGGTTACCCAGCATTCAATGAAAACCGAAATCACGTGGACGTGATGTACATGACTCAACAACAACGTAAGCTTTATTTGTACAGTATCTTGCAAAAGCTTTAACTCGGCATAAAGTTACAATTTATAACACAATGCAATGACTACTACAGTCAATCAAGCGTTATCAGCATGATTTGATAACAAATTAGTACGTAAATCATTACATAATGAGACAAATTTCAACAAATGTGAATTTACGGAAAAATTCTGTGAATTCATCAATTTAATTATTATATTATTAATTCTGTGTAAGATAGCTGATTAAAGTCGACAAAATTTTGTTGGATTTGATTGTAGAATTTCTCCCTTGGGATTGAGTATTTTGGACAATGGAAGAGAAAATGAAATTCGTCTTCAATTATACCAGTCTCGGGTGGGTAGGTTTTTTCGTTGGGTAAGAAAAAATCTCTGGTTACAGGGGCGTAGCATGAAATTTTTAAAGTGTATGCACGGGAAGAAAAGTTAGAGCGCTGAAGGCACTTCAAATTAGGGTGCTCCTCCAGAAAATTTCTGAATTTAGTTTCTCGGCAATGTCATTTCCAGCCCTTTCCACAGGGCATTTTTCATGAATAAATACGAAGGGAAATGCAGAAATTAGTTGTTTCTTTTACCCATATAGCAAGAGACTATAAAGGGGACAGAGAGGGCATCCCCCATATACACCCTATTCCATAGGTAATTCGTCTCGAGTTATTTTTAGAATCGGGATAAAGTTACCTCGCGCGAGGCGTGGATGTTTCGTGGAGGTTTCGCATGACCAAACGCCGTGCAAAACATGTCGGGCGAGAGGCAATGAAAGCGTAAAAAGATCGAGAGCATTCCTGAATATTGAAGCGAAATGAGTCGGCGCTCACCTGGGAAAAAGGAATCGCTGGACTCTTTGACAACCCGTGAAATCAGTTTAACTCGAAGTTGTCGTAACCTCAGTGCTTTAATAAAATGAGAAATTTCGCCGGTCTATTGAAACCGGTCGTTTGTACAATTTAGGGAGTTTAAGATCCAACGACGCGGACGACAACTAGAACGTCAAAAAAACAATAGGTTTAATTAGCAAAACAACAACTTCGCACGTGCAACACACTTTTTTGTTCATTTCTTTCCCGTTTTTGCACGACTACGACGTGAAAATGCCTAATTTCGCGTTTTATGGAGGACGTAAATAAGCAACGACGAAATTTTATTTCTCTTTCTGAGCTTGAATATGGTCCCTTGAAATTCAGCTTTAGGAGGGTTCGCCTACAATTGACAAAGTAAGTGGGTAGGAATAATCGCTATAAAGACTGAAAAAAATAAACATCAAACCAGAAATTGCTCTCTTCAAACTGTAAATTATAAATGATCCTGAGAGAATATTCAGTGTGTTAAGGATTTCCCTGCTCTACTGTTAGCTCTATACAAGAGAGGAAGGGCGATTCTTTTTTAATTTCGGTTTCGCTGACACAGCTTTCGCAGAAATCTCGCTGTAGTCGTTTTCGTCGACAAAAGGAATAGCAAAATCGCTCTCCGCGTCTTCCCCCATTTTGTTCTGCGTCATTTCGTGAAGGACGCGTGGCTCTCAGCGTGGGTCATCCACGCGGAACACATTCGCGCTATGTGATTGGCTGTTGTCTAATCCCCCTTGAGATCTGTGGTGTTAAAAATAACTCGAGACGAATTACCTATGGAACAGGGTGTATATGGGGGATGCCCTCTCTGTCCCCTTTATAGTCTCTTGCCATATAGTTATTGGTATGACAGGTACAGTGTTAACAGAAAAAAATAAAGGGTAAGACAGAGGCGCCATCAAGTGCTGGTTACAAGCAAAGACGCTAATGTAATGCGAAAAAATTTATCCGTCATCCCGATTTAATGATAAAAATGCTTTCAAGAAAAAATACAAAAATTTGCCAGATTTCAGTTGTACGCATGGGCGTATATGAGTATATGGACGCTACGCTCCTGGGTTAATAAAGCAAAAAAGTTGGGTTGATATAATTACCAAAATTACTTACTATGGGCAGGGTGTAATGGGTAGGATGAACGAACTCGAATGTTACAATTACAAGGATATGGGCACGTGAAAGTAACGACCCTCGTTACTTTCGGATTACGCAGCCTTTCACTGCCTAAGGCTACTTTCGGAGTCGTTCAGCCTATGTTCAGTGGGTCGCTGCTTTCGGTTAGCTAAAAATGCGTACCGTACTTTGGCGTTTCGAAGTTACGCTAATAAAATCGCAAAAAAAGGATACACACTTTTTATTTGGAGAAAATTGTTACATGTTATTGTTTTGAACAACAATATTCGAAAAAATCAGTCTTCTGAATAATCTACGTTAGAAGCAGTCATTTCCCATCAATACCACTAATATTAGATCGTATTGTCACGGAGCTATTGAATTTAGTCGTTACAGGCTTTTTTGATCATAACTGACTAAACTTAAGATCAGTTTGCAAGAGCCATGGTTTGGTCATAGCCTTTCCAGACGTCTTTGATTTCTTTCAATTCTAGCTGCAAAACTGAAAGGGAATTTTTTTTAGGTCGCTAGCCAGTTTAGAAAGGTCGTTATTTTCGAAGCGTGGCTACTTTGGGAGTAAGTAACTGTCGTTACTTTCGGAACTTAATGGTATGATACTAAAATAACATCACAGAAAAAAAAAAAAACAACAACAGAAAAGAAAACAACAAAGTACAAATGAAAGGATAGAAAGAATGTATAACACATTGTCACTATGGTAAAAGGAGAAAGATTACTGTCAAATTTTAGCCTAGAGGTATGCCTGTACAGCAGGCAAGTAGCATAATCATGATTTTTTAGAAATTTTTACTTTTAACTCTACCATTCCGGCTTTTCCTGGCTCCAAGAAATGAGTAAAAAAGAAAGAGAAATATGCGAATTTGAAATGGATTTGAAGAATTTTTTTTGTTTGCGCTAAAAATCTAAGTAATGATAACATAATTTCTGCCTAAAGGCCAAATCTGAAATGGGTACGGATTTTAGAGATCTGGTCTGAAAACGGATGGGGAAAATTAGAGAGCCGGGCGGCGGCACACCCCCAGCAAGAATTCCCAGGAGTACCCCCCCCCCCGGAGTTAAAGCAACGAGAACGCTGACGTCCCGGACGTCATGAAAAGCAACTGGAAGTTTGATACCTCGCTTGATAGAACGCTTCTGTCTCACACAACGAATATGAATGCCTTTGTTTTAACTCCCACTGTACAAATTTGCTTATTCAGATCAGCACTGGAAGAGAGAAGAAAAGCAACTTCCGGTTGCCATTTTTGACTTCCGGTACGCCAAAGTTTTCGTTGCTTACTGGTAAGTTCCCCAGTAATGTACAGAGGTCGTCAAAACTCAGGCAAATACGCGCCGGGTTTTATTTATTTAACATTTATAAAAATCACATAGTGGACCACCGCCCGCTTAGACTAGCTAATCTGCTAACTGCGGGCAGAGGATATTGCTTGCTGTAAAATTTGCAATAATTAATAAACAGTTGAATAGTTGAGCGAGAAAAGGCACGCGCGTCTTATTTTCGCAAGGTAAAAACCCACTGGTTCTAATCTTTTCTCATAGTGCTTCCCAACCCTCCTCCACATAGCACATAGCAGCCACTTCTCTACAATGACCATTCACCTCTATTCCCAAGGTCTGCTTGCAAAGTGCTCCCTAGGCTATGCACAGCCTCCACCCTCCCGCAGAAAAAACTCGGAGAAGGGGCCCGCTCTTTGATTTTTTCTGAGGGGAGGGGGCGGCTGTACACAGGTCAAATGCCTTCGAAAATCATAAAGTTCGCAAGTTACTGATGGCGATTTGCGATCCCGTAATCATTTATTCTGCATTTACAGCCGTCTCCTCGAGTCCCAAACTCCCGAAAGAGTCGACGTCTTTCTTGAGATCGGTTTGCGACCCGAAGAGACGACTGAAATTCAGGCTAAGAATCATTCATTACTGTAGTGTCCTACACAGCCCGTTATTTGTGCAATCACACAACGCTTTGCGTATAGCTAATAGAAGACTAGGCATCATTTAAAAGCTCACAACCAGGTCACAAATGATGACCACTAGAGAGTATAGAGGGTTCTCAATAGGGTTATTCAATCACGAAATTCCAAACAAAGCGACGGTTTTATCTGATATACAGTCGACTCCCGATAACTCGAACCTTCAAGGGAAATCGAAAAAAGGTTCGAGTTATTGGGAGTCGAAGAAAATAGCCGAGAGTAAGGTAAAAAAACAGTTTTCACTGCACAGTGAACATTTTAATCACATTTAAAGGAGCTGTGTCACGAAATTGAGCCAAATTAAGAAATTACAAAATGCCCGTTGAATTAAGAGAAACATAAAAATAACCGCTTAAAACTTTAAAGGAAGGTTAAAATAACATAACAGAAACAACAGATGTCGCGGATGGGCAAAACTGAAGAAGATTAAAACGGATTGAACTTAGGATTTTTGAAAACTGTTCAGCCTAACAGTTTTTCAAAGTTGATCCCTGCTGCGATCGAAGGCGAGTAATTGGCAAAATTAAACAAAATGAATTGGACTACCGTGACACAGCCCCTTTAATTGTAAAAATGTCAAGTGAAAATTAAAAGGTACTTCTAGATTATAAATCAGAACGTAACGTAACAAAAGATAGCCTAAATAGAGCATGCGTTTTACTGTTTTGAGAAGGAAAGCTGCTTCACGTTAGCCTGTGATAATCAACATCAGCTTCCTCTAGTAAACTATACTCCTACAACACGTCAATAGGAAATCCAAAATTCAATGTTTCGGACGCCAGTGTACGGCTTTTTTCCCGACTTTTTAAGGGCTCAAAACATGGTTCGAGTTATCAAGGGTAAAATTATAAAGAAAAAAAAAAAAATTAGTTGGAGTTAGCGGGAGTTCGAGTTATCGAGGGTTCGAGTTACCGAGGGTAAGATTACAGTGAATGTATGACGGAAATCCAGGGGAAATCGATTTTAGTTCGAGTTAGCATGAGGTTCGAGTTATCGGGAGTCGACTGTAGATGGGATCAGAGGGGAATGGATAGCTTCCTCGATGTTTTTCCAGCGCCATTTTCGCTGCTATTTTGTCCTCTTTTAACCGCCCAACTCTGAACATGTGGAACTTGCTAGAAATGCGTCTCACTTAACATGTAAATTAGAGATTGTGATCCTATTTATAATTACAAGTTCATAGTGGTCAAATTCCTGAATTGTATGACGCCATTTGACTAGGTCTGATCCGGGAGGGCTAACATTCAAAAGAGACGGGGAGCCTGCCGTTTCACTAAGAGGTGTAAATTACAGAATTTCAGTAAGTTTCGCTTAAAGAAATATCTTCATATTAAAAAGAAACAACAAAGAAATATCCTTTAACGAAATCAATATCACTGTAGCTGTTAGAGAACCACTATCCTTAGTAGAGAAGCCTACGTTGACTTTGCTTTTTATTTTTTTCAAGGTTTCTCTATTTTCCACTCTTATTCCTTTTTTTATCTCTTACTCCGTTTTATTGATGTTAAATTATTGATGACTTAATTGACTGCAAATAGTTTCAATACAGTAGGCAGCATAACTTTTGTTCCGTATAAGTCGCATATCATCATATACCTATGTTACAATGCGCTATAGAAGTATTAAATATTATTATTATTATTATTATTAGCTCTTATTTGATTGGCTATTCCATTATGTTCTCCTCCATTATATGTCAAGTAAAGCCCAGATTGGCCTCCTACAGGGGCTTAATTAATGCGTATTGTCCGACTAGGATCTCCTTGTCTTTTATATATTGGTCGCTCCCCTGCCCCGGGGCGACGGAAGATTACTAGAATTCCCGGAAACTCCGATACAAAGCGTCCTTCCGTGTGCTTGGCTAACAACAAGCTAAGAGAGACTGTGGAACCAAAGCAAGGGACTTCAAGAGCTTTGCTGAACATAACAATCTCAAAAAGAATCATCGTATCTCTTAAGTAAGTAGATGAATGCCTAATTTCTATTTTTTGCAGTTCTTTTTGGCTTACGACTAAACGTCTCAGAGAACATTACGCGTGCGAAGTTGCACTATAGCTCGTTTGTGCTCTAGCGCTTTGACAAAATCGATTACACTCTTTTTTTATTATAAGAACACATTTTATAAGAATATCGAGGCTGAAATTTGCGAATTTAATAATATTTTAAGAATAAACCCGAGGCTGAGATTTTGAAAAGAATACAATTTTTTGTGTTGAAAATCTGTTAATAAATGCACTGAATTATACATGTGTTTTAAGTAACTAATAAAATTACTCCTTTCTCTAAACGGCAAAACTACAGGGACACCCAACGACTGTTTTGTTTAGTATTTCTGTTCGGAGAAACAAATATTGCCTAGAATTTTCTATTGCCTGAGGACTGCTAAAAATTCCTAGATGAAAGTTCCACTCATGTACAACTTTGGAAGCTTATCTAACAAATTCCCTACGATTTTCTGAAGTTTAATTTTCAAATTTCACTCCCTAAGTTAGGCTATTTTTCGCAGAGAAAAGGAAGCCTCAAATTTTCAGACTAAAAAATGCAATAGAGTGAGAAATCAGAAAACGTCTCACATTCGTAAAACTTCGAATTGCATCTAAAATATTCGGGAAAATAATACTTTCGAAAAGAATCAAGTTTCCCTAGGATGACCGAACAGATACAATTTTTATAGTGCTACTTAAGAATGCATTTCTAGACATCTAAAAGTACTGTGGATAGCTTAAATAGTGTTTTCAATGTATTTAGGAGGAAACCGTCGTTGGATGCCCCTGAAACTAGCCTACAAAACGATAAATACAGCACTGAGTAAAACCAAATGTTCAATGCTAATAACAGTTCGATGACAGGTACCTGCAATGCTTATGGACAGTGCCTCCTAAGCTTTAATTTAAGAATAATACAAGCATTTTCCAGCCTTAAATCAGCAGAAAAACAAGAATATTCAGCCTGGACCGGAAAAACAATATTCTTATATAAAATAAGGGTGTAAATGTTTCTGACATAAATGTAAAAGAAAAGAAGTTTAAAAGGAACGAATCTTTTTTTCAAATTCTTGAACTTAATGTATTTTATGATTTAAGTAAATAGAACTTTCACTTTTCTTGCACTGACGCCAAGTGTGCTGATGAGGAAAAAATATAT